TTCCTGTGACAGTTGACAGCCATTAGGCTTGTTTGATGCTAATGAGGGCAGACAGCTATGTAAGCTATTTCCTTCACTCATAACTATTTAACTTCTAAATTTGTGCTTAAGAAAAAAAAAAGAATCCAGCCACAGCTGCTTTCTGTGGGTTCTTTTTCCTTCTCTGACTTGTGTGAATGTCCTTTCTATTTTGCCTAGGATCAGCAGTATTTTTAAAAAAAGTGATGTCAATACTCTCTGTCCAGGGATTCTGTCCTGTCCTGGCTGTATAAAGTGTCTTAAATAAGGTCCAGAACCTTCTTTTTATGTTTAATAATTTTGTCTCGCTAAACCCATTCTTTGTTGTTTTTGTTCCAAAAACTACACGCATGTTAACTCAGCAAGGTTCACACTGAAGCAATATGCTTATTTAGAACTACTGTAAATAAAGCAGACTGGGCTTAGTCCTGTCTCCAGTAAGATCAGCGTTGAATTTGTGCTATCATTAGCACAAGGGCTTTGCAATATTCTTTCCCTCTCTAGACCAATAGATACTTAATTAGTTCTACAAAGAACAGCTCCACTTTCTGAAAGCAGCTTTAATAAGGGTGGCAGAGAGATTTTCTAAGCCAGTGATCTGAGACTCCTCTCCGTGATTATCTAGCTATCTATACCAGATAATGTCAGATCCCTTTATTTTGAGGTTTCTTATTCAAGGCCAAACCTCTAGGTGATTTATTTTCATGGCTGTGTACATGTACAATTTGACATGTCAGCAGCTGAGATCAAATAAACTGTATTCTAAAATGTCAATCTAAACGATTACTRGACAGTAGGAAGGTTTCAGCAATGAAGATGTGCTTCTCAGCATTTGAGTGCTTATCTAGGTAATTACATGTTCTCTTTTTTGAGAATTATTTAACCATAACTTTTTCCTGATAATGTGGCTYACTATCTTGATAAGCAATATGTAATGCTCTAAGATTTCTTAAAATCTGATGTAATGTCATATGTATCTATATATGTACTGTAAATACATATCTACATAGGCCACATCCAATGTTCTAGTATGTATTACTAATGCCTTGTAGCTCAGAAATAACATTTGACTCASTAAAGTCAGATTTTATTCTGTCAGACTTACTAGCACATTGCAAAAAATAACTTTAGACAAAGACGATGCATTTGTGAAAATATCAAATACTTAGTTCTCTTAATTATAATGATGCTTACAAATCTGTTAAATTTGAACAATAATCCAAGAGTTTGGATCTCCCAACTACATTATTCCAAGAGAAGACTTTTTCAAGAAGAATTCAGTCACTTTTTCCTGCTCCATAGAATTACTGTATACAGGGCCCTCAATGCTTTCCTCAAAAACAGAAACTAGTAACAGACTGTATAAACAGAGACACCATGCACAGATTGAAGAGAGGAGGGAAGAAGAATTTAGATTTTTACATTTTATTGTCTTGTTCTTACAGTGTCTAACAGCAGGCTATGATTATCTCAAATGTCTTCTCATTAGTCATATTTAGTCACAATCTGTTTATTGATGAAGAAATGTATCTTTAAGTTTAAAATCTGCACTACAGTTCTAAAATTGTATCTGTCTATAATACAGATGGCGTTGCTTCGTTTCCCTAGGTAGAATCATGATGCTGGGTAGAGATTTACAGATTTTGAGCTTTGAATAACAGTGACAAGGAGCAGACAGGGATTTAAGAAAAATGTAAATCTTCTTTTCTCCTGGTCTACCCTGACCTTGCCTTAAGGCTTCACTCCTCTGGGAATTAGGCCAGTTTAATTCTATTTTATGCTGTTCAAGTTCTTAGACTGTTCTCATCCACACAGCTTTGAACCTGSAAGGTGTTGGAATACTTTAATCAGCAGGACAAATGTGATTTTTCTCTCTCACTTTCTCCTGTTACAGTGAAATAGTGTGTATAAGCACTTCCAATGTCTGTAGAAGAGTTAATATTACATGTATTTTATGTATGTACGTGCTAGAAAATGTAAACTAAATATATAYGCCTTTCATAACGAGCTGGATGATGGGGAATACTGCAGTGGTTCATAGACCTTATGAATTTCTGCCTTTCCGACTGATGAAACCAATCTGGAGAGTTCTAGAGGCTGTAAAAAAAGTATATCCATTTTCTTTTCTTTTTCTTTTTTTTTTCTAAAAAGAAAAGCCAAGTTCATCAGTGAAGAAAAGTATAAGATTCTCAAGTGAGAGAAAACAGGATGCAGAGTAAGAAAATAYCTATTATCTGCACTGCCATTTGATTAAAGGAATAGGATTAGAAGTTAACTAAAACATACTTATATTTTCCATCAGAAAAAATATTCAACAAAATGAACACGTTAAAAGAAATTATGTTGTCAGAGGAACATCAGAACTCTGGTCTATAAATAGAGCAGTAAGAAAAGGAATGAATGGTGGCAAATGACCATTTTAATACTGTTTTAAATTTACAAATTGCTGTAATGRTCTGTAGTTTTTAGGTATACTTATAATGTTCCCTTTATTTCAAGGTCATCTGTTTTTTAAAATGTCCCTTTGTAGGAATTTCAGCTGCTCACTTCCTCTGTTGTGTGCATGTATAGTCTATTTTTATTTCCTGCCTACTGCTATCTTTCTTTTACTCTCCACCGGCTTAGTTGTCTTGGGCATCTGCAAAGTGCATTTTCCCTTTGCAATGAAAGTCTATGACAATCAGGTATGCTATATAAATTCTTTATCAACTACAGAAAGGGATCCTTGTATCTGCTAGCCATCAAATTGCCAATGCCTTTAACTCCCAAGGCTTTTCTTCTACAACTGCCTCCTGTTTCTACAACAATAGAAACATGTCTGCACTGTAGAAGTAATTGATAAGGTATGTGCACAATAAAGTCTGCCTTCCAAGCCTAATTTTCTTCGTTTACACGCAGATGTAAATCAAGAGAAATGTCTAGATGTCTATGAAATTATATCAGTATGCTGTCAGTAGCAACCATATAGCTAAGAGACAAAACTAAATCTTATATTTTTCACATTAAAGATTTTTTTTGACATTTTGACAAGTCAATGTTTTCTGCATACAATGTTTCTTTGTTCAGTAATGGGCAGTAATAAAACACTCACATGCCATGTTATCATTTCTTTGTCCATCTTTCAAAAAGAAAAGATGCATTTAAAGTGTAGATTACTAGATTCAAGTGTAGATTTAAAGTGTAGATTACTAAGTGTAGATTATAATTCAAATTATCTTCAGAACTCTCAAGAAATTATGCTATATTTTTTTCTAAGTAGAAGACCAAACCTTTACAGGAAAAAAACCCTCTCTTCAGATCTCACCACAGAGAAGGAATTTTTGCATGTGCCCCCTGAGACTTTATTTGCAAAAGATACATCTTTCCTGAATACCTAAGTATGCTTTATATATGCAGAGTGCTTGAAAGGGCTATAGATGTGTCACAAAATACTTACCCCCTCAATAATGTAAACTAATTCCTCAGAATTCCATTTTTCTCGCCCTTCTTAATAGAGCTAATGAAAACCTCCAAATAGAACAGATACTCTTTCCAGAAAACAATATAATAATTTCCTGTGATATTTCTTTGGAAATCCAGAAAGATTTCATGTATTATTAGGGGTACTAACATTATTAGATGCCTTGGCAATTAAGAATGTTTTAGCCATTGGTGAACCTGAGTAGTACTGGAACTGATAAGAGGTGTTTGCACTTGCTGTGAGAAGAAACCAGGGTGAACTAGTRGGTCATGCGAGCTGTCCCAATAACTAAAACAGACCATTTATGCTCTTACAGTATGATATGTGGTACCCAGTTTTGTACAGTATTACAACYGGTCACAGTCTGTTATTTAGAACTTGTCAACAATTCAGCTATTGTGAATTACTCATTGATTTCAATATGATTAAGCTCCGTAATACTTTTGCAGTACTAGCCAGCCCTATGTCCACTAATTATTTTGGTTTTATTTATGCATGTGGTTTTAAGTGTGATAGCCTTTCTTTGCCTGAATATTGCAGAAATAGAAATTCCTACAAATTTCCAGCTTTTACAGTGTAATTTTCTTGTCATCAAGTGTTTATCTAAAATGTTAAACTTTTTAGAGGACCAYGCTAAAACCATGAGATAAGCCAAGGGCTTTTCATTATGGGCATCAGTAAACATTTTAATATACTTACTTCTAGAAAAGGATGTACTGCTTCACTCCAACTAAAGCGTGTCTCCCTGTTAGAATATATTGTGTTTATTTTCTGCTTTCTGCTCCCTCCTAATATACCCCAAAGGTAAGCAACCAAAAAGCATATGACTATGTGCAAAGCGTAAGACTCCTGCACAGAAATAGCAGCCAGTGCTTCCAAGGTGTTTTTTCCTTCATGCAAATAATCGGAGCAGAGGGTTTGCAGCCAGTTGGAGAAGCAATTTACAACTGCTGCAAATGATTGACATGGTGTTTACATGGTCTCCTGGTCATCTACACATAGATGACTTTCTGCATTGCTGAATTTTATTGAAAATATTCCTCCTGACAGTTATTTAGCTTCTGTCTCAGTCTTCCTCTGCAGTTTTTCCTCAAATTAAAAGAAAATAGAACCCATAATGGCCTAAGCCAGTCTTAGGTCCTTACAGTCTTAAATTTACTGTCTTCAAAATGTAGAAAATGATTGGCTAAATCTGATATAATTGTCTTGGAGCTGTGCATTTAAGAATTGGTTTAAGTCCTTACAGATACACAAGCATAAGTCCTTTGATTCTTATACAACATTTTAGCATCACAATCGAATAATATATTAGGGATTTCACAATGATATAAAGATTTGAAAGTACATTTTTGCTTCATATCTACAGAAAAATGAAGGAAAAATTGTTTTTAGAAGCCCTCATGTACAAACCTCAAACATAATTTCTCATCTAGCCTTTCCTAAAGCAAAGATCTCAGGAGCAAAACACAACTATAATGACTTTTGAATTTTCCGAGATATATATATATATATAAGGACTTACTGTGATGATTAACCCTTTTTCCTGGAAATATTTAACCAGTGGGACAGCATTTTGCTTGAAGTTCATTAGTCTTCTCTGCGTGGCTTTCAGGTTATCATCAGGTCTCCCTTGCTGCTCAGCACGTTTCAGCAACCTTTCTTTCAGCCTTTGATTGGAGCATGCCAGAAATACAACCAAATCTGGGGTACAGATCTATGGAAAGAGCAATTCAAAAAGTTGTCAATTTAGTTGGCTATGTAGCAGAAAAATACTTCATTATTAAGTGAGGTTCAGATATGGTATATTTTTTCAAATCTAGAATTTGATTAACTTCTTTCTTCTTCCTTAACAGGAAATTCATATGAAAGCATTTTAGCTCATTTCAGAGCTCATTTCTAGGCTGTATATTTCTCCTTTGCATTAGCAAAAGACTTCACTAGCTAACACGATAACCAGTGTCCCATATTCTGCAGATAACTGTATAGCTTTTATTTAAAACACTGTTCTATAAAGCATTTCATTTGAAATCCAGCAGCCACTATAGAACTGAGTGATCTGTTCCAGGATCTGAAATCCAGCAGCCACTATAGAACTGAGTGATCTGTTCCAGGATCCACGGTAAACTTCCCCATTGACTTAAGCACGTTCTTGTTAAGAATTAGTTTTCCTTGTAAATGAATTTATGGTAATCACACCTGTCTGCTGCTATTGCATTTTTAGTTCTATGGCATTACCTGAATGCTTCCTAGTCCTGATGTAATCATGCAGTCCTTCTAACCTTCTTCCTCCTTGCTTTTTGAAACCTGACTTGAGCATTAGTGTGCTGTTCAAGAGGTTGTATGTGGCAACTAAGACAACTTTTTTTTTTCCATCCAGTTTGGTCAGTGTCACACCCACACCTACCCTAATACTCAGGAAGCACAGCCCTCAGGCAGTGAGGAAAAAGCCTGCAGAAGTTTCACTCCTTCATAGTTAAATTCAAGTTATCCTTACGGCTACACTGTTTTGTTTATAGCTTTCAGTTATTACTGCTATCAAATAGATGGAAGCAGGCAGATTCTTTGGTTTTGATGTGATGCTATGATAGTGTTTCTCTCTTACTAATGTTTCTGAATGTTTTCAGGYAGTCTTCAGAGCCATTGTTCTTTACTAGATATGGTGCATAAAACAGGAGACATKGCTCAGACACCTGAACTGAATGAATTGTAGCCTGGGAGAGAGTGTGTATTAACTACAAATGTTAATGGCATTTGCAAGACTTCTGTTCTTTTGTGTACTTTGTTATAAAAAAAAAAAAAAAACCCTCTCTCTCCCTCTCTCTCACCACTCACCTAAAAATCTTTTTCTCCTTAGCTTACTGTCATCTTTTGAAATGTATTAGAATTCTCTSTGTGAAGCATTTGAGATAAAAATGAATTCTATTGTGTTGTGCACATTTTCATATGATTACAGATTAGCAGGGGTTTATTTGTTCTCACACACAAGCATGAAGTTCTTTCTGCTATCCTTACTTATCTAAAGCAAATAAGTTCATACTTTAMTATTAATAAAAAGTCAAGATTTCAGAAATGGCATAACTTAGTTACRTTATGAATTTCGGGAATGCTCAGAAACGCTAAGGAGACATTATTTCAGAAACTGTAACTGCAAATCAGCAATCTAGTGAAGTGAGGGACAAAAGCAGTTTGTACAAATGTGCAGTTTAATTTAGTGCTTCCATTTCCACTGATGCTAGCAGTCTAACACTAGCTTATAAGCAGGACGAGAAATCTTCAAATGCTTCCAGCTGTAGCTGGCGCAATCCCCAGTTTCAGTGCTCCCTCCTAACCCTTTCATATATAGCATCTACCACATTCACRGCCCCGTGAAGCCCTAACAGAGCTTCCCTGACTGCAAACCTAAGCATTTTCTCTATCATGCAACTTCATACATAACACCAAACCATACACAGACTACTTATAATAAACAGCTGCCCTTGAGATAAATAGCCCTGAAGGGGAAAGGAAATAAAGAGAAGGCCTCCTGTTTGATGCAATTTGAGTCAATCTCAGCTGTTTGTATAAATGCTGGATAAATAAGAGTCACCTCACAGAAAGGGAAGGATGTAAAAGATGCTATGACCTGTATCAGGAGTGCGGGTTCTCATTTGCTGAACTCCCACAAACGGGGTTTACTTCAGGGATCAGTTGCTTTTTAACAAAATGTGAAAGATGGCTTTTTACATGTTGTGGGTTTTTTTCTTTCTATTTTTCCCCACYTCTTAGTAGTAAATTGAAGAAAATTGATGGCACAATACAGCAATTGTGGAAAATCAATTAATTAGGCTTTTAGGTGTTTCACATTGCTTTTTAAAATAGAAAGTTCTCTAAAACAACTAAGTCCTTATAACAAATAATAAAAAAGGCCTTTGTATTTACTCTGAGACTCTAGCTTTTGCATCTTGAAATGCATTTTATTTACTCAAATAGAGTGTCAGTGAAAATGATGGCTTAAAATTCTAAACTTTGGAAGCCCAGTTTCAAATTAAGTACCATATACAAGATTTTTGAAGTGGGGAGGAAAAAAAAGGTTCAAAGGTATTTTACTTTCTGAGGTAGGAATATRAAATAGATCCTGACTAAGCGATGTCTTTATGAATGCATCTGTTATTTGGAGAACATGCATTATTGCCATTAGAAAGYAGATGAAAAAGAGGTAAACATACTTCTCTGTTTTTAGATATGCAGAAGGGTATCCTCTCTACTGTATCCAAGGGTATACGGACCTAAAACCACTTTCTATATTTCTCCTATACACTTTATAACCTCCAGGGTAAATCTGTGAAATGCTATCAATATTTCACTCCTGTTTTCATGAAAAACTCTGCTCCCATTTACCTCAACTGCAATTTCCTGCAAGAGTTGCTTATAAATTTAAGCTGGAAAGTAACAGACTAGTATGAACATATGGACATCTGGGAATACTTCTCTGGCAATATGTCTAGTTCTCCTGCGTAAAAATAAGTATGAATCGCTTTTTCCTAACAAAGGTAATGCTTTTTATGACTCATTGAAAACAAACCTATTTCCAAAACTCAAACTAAATGTGGTTGAGTTTTATAACTAGAGAATAAGTCGTGCCTTTGGACTCTRTCTGCAGAAAAGATCCTGTATGTAGAAGCAGCATAGGCAGAACTCGATTCCTTCATGCCATTTACCCCTATATGCTCCTTGCGTTGAAGGCAGAGGGTCTTATGTGTGAGGAAAAATATTAAAGAAACCATTTTCTTATCATCCACATAACAAACTGATAGTGCAAATACACATGGTGTCCCAAAAGACAGATGGCTGATGAAAAGACCCCTTGTCTTGCCAAAGAGCAGGAATCGCATCCGAAGCTGGTAAGAGTCAAGGAGATGGCATTTGGGTATTTCTGCATCTCTGTCTTCTGCCTCACTGTGACAAGGCCTTTCTTTAGGGAGGGGAGGTCCTCCCAGAATCTCTCTCTGAATGAAGGGAGCAATAGAGGCTCCATACACAAGAACTCAGTACTCTGTTCAGCTGCTGAGATGCACAGCGTGGAGAAAACAGTACTGCACTGTACAATTTGGTTTCTTAGAAAACAGGCCATAAATTTCTAATGTGATTAAGTATTAGTGTTAGAGGAAATCTTCAATTTACTACTACAACAAGCAACAGATAAAATGCCTGTATTTTATCCTCAGGTAAAAAATATTTTGTGTTGCTAATGGACATGTAATTCACACTAATATGTGCCTAGAGCAAAGGAAAAATAAGGAATAGTAAGATTAATGACACACTCAAAATTTTTAACTTAAAGGTTGTTCTTGAAGTTAAAAGCTGCAATCATAAGAATGGCTAAATACTTTATGTTTTTAGAAAGAAAAATGTGTATATATATACAATAAAGTAACATTTTCCAAAGCATAATTCTTGTATACAGGTCATCCAGTGATGTTCCATATGTTAGATTTTTTTCTTATAGTCAGTTTTATAAGAAAAAAGACTGGATACTGAATTTCTTACCTGACCGTTTTTATTTACTTGATGTTGCTTCTAAATATATTGATATATATACATATGGGAATGGATATATATAYATTATATATATTCATGAAAAGATTTAAAGCTGAATCAGCTTTAAATTTCTGAACTTYACAACAGAGCTGAGAAAGCACGTAAAAGGGAAAAAAATGCGTTTCACAGGCAATTTGTAAGAAATAGTGCAGATAGTAGGAAAGTATTAACTTTTGTCATCAATATWATCTAATTATATAGATAGATTACAYAATCTATGCTATTGATAGTCAGACRCATCTCACTCCCAAGAAAATTAGTGGAAATACTTCCTATGTGGACTTCTGGATAAAGAAATAATTATGTAAGTTACAGCAAGTCATAATTTTCTTGCTAAACATAGAGCTGGCATGAGGCGACTCTGGGGCTGAGGGAACCAAATTTGACTATTTACTTAGGAATTGGAACTCAACCAAAGGGAGAATGTTGGCCTATGGGTACACGTAGCTTTCTGGTTATGAATAACTTTTTGAGCTTTAAATGAAATGAAGAACATACGGCATCAACTCAAAATAAAACTGGTGGATAGGAAGTACTCAGTTCTCTTATGCTTTCAGATTATTTACTAGTGAGTATATTGTACTGTCTTTGGATCCGAATTCTCTTCCTAAACTGGTACAAGGAAGTAAATTCAGAGTAATCTGGTTCAAGTCAGTAGTGTCACTGAAGTAAAGCACTGTGAGTGTAAAGACGCTTTCTTATATCTGGGGATATTTTCTACATCTCCTCTTATTAGTGAGAGTGGAGTGGTTGCTTGCTATAAAATTAGATGATTACATTCTGTTATTATTCCTCATTAGGCAAAACCCCAAAATGATTTGATTTTTAATTCCTCATATGTTCCACTACATAGTCCTGAGGAAACTTAACTGACAGCACATGAACATTCGTCATTATTTTAACAGTATGTTTTACTCCAACTGGTAGAGGTTACTAGTAAGTTACTTTATGTATATTGTATTTGTGCTCACTCTTATAATTAACGAWTTGCTATATATAGTTCCATCTCTACTGGATTATTAGACTGCATATGTTTTTTTCTTGTTTTAGAAAAAATCATTAATCATCTATCAAAAAATGAATCCTGCTGATGAGATTTTTTTTCTGATTTTGAACCATATTCACTCTGCCTGTTTT